TGTCCGTATAGTCTGGTGTCGATTCGACGTGCTTATACTCTTAAGAATATAATCACGGTGACCGAATCGGGCGCCGACAATTTGTGAACTTCGCAGAACCAGCAACCTTGTCTTCAGGCTCTAGAACCCAAAGGACCGAGAGTGTTCCTTCCTTGGTCGCAGTCGCAAGATAAAGAAGTCAACAACGCGACATCAATGAATTTTACTTCTCGGCTGGGCTCAGCCGATGAGTTGGCACGTCCCGCATTTAATCGAAGGACGTAGTTAGCTTATTAGTTACTCGGCCTGCGCACCACGTAGGTTTTGTAATTTTTAGAGTCAACAATGATGCGCACGCACAAGAAGCTAGCTACATACTTGTATTTTCAGTTTGGTGAGCCACATAATGTACGAATTGAGATTTTATTTGATTGTCATTCTGGTTTTTTCTTGAAATATCCTTTGCAGAATCAAGTTCCAGAGAAGTACAGTGCAAAGATCACTTTGTGTGAAGATGCTTCTTAATTATGAATCGAAGCTGCTAAGACTTTTGTACATAAATTGCACTAGTTAATATTACATTTTGGGTATAATTTGAATGTGTAGTGTTTTGCTTGAGTAGTGTAATTAGATGTAATTACATATTTGTTTCCTACTGCCAATTAGGTTAACTATGTTTTATTGCCCTTCTTTCAAAACAAGTCTCTTTACATTCTATATAACTTTCAAAGCGAGAATAATATCATATATAACAGAAAATTGCCCCAATTTAGTTTTTCTGATATCTTTTTGACAAGTTTCTCTAAGATTTAACAGGGTATCAGACCAGAAATCCTAAGGTCTCGATGTCTCGAAATACCCCTCCACCTTGCCAATTTGTTTTTCTTGCTAAATATGGGAGTGTGACGACACCACCAAGAGCCCGATCTTGGAAGATGGTGGCAACGACTCCTTTGTTGTCGCTTCCAAGACCTCGACGAGAATGATGAATCTGATAATTGCGAAGACTCTGACGTACAACCATAATGACCCCGAAGACAGCCCCGAATCTATGAATGACGACCTAATGGTACAACGTATAGCCAATGGCAAATAACTATGGCTATGCAGTCAATACTTTCAGCTATAATTCGTGATCAGGCATAGATCATTGACTCTGGACGAACATATAATATGACGTTTGACCCAGAAATTTTCATAATTCTACAACGTACGGAACCTCACAGGACAAGTGTAGCAAATTTTGAAGTGTCAATGCATCTTCTCCGATGACTGGAGCTGGGATCATAATGCGTATATCATTCAAGTAAATGTAGGGTCCACGATTGCTTTCAGCTCTCATTTATGCATTCCAAGTTCAAAAAATCCTATGATTCCTTAAGTTTTCTGCCTGTATAAACTCCAGTGACTTCTGAAAGGTAACTAGCATTCCCAAGCTTCATATCAAAACCTGAAAATTTAATTACAAGAGAAACAGAAAAATACATATTTCTTGGCTAGCAGAGAAATTGACAGAACCTTATCATTCACATTGTAACTTTTTTCCTCTGATTCTTAGTTATTTTGTCTTGCATGGAGTATTATGGGGCATGCATGATGCAGCTTGGGTTTTTACTATCCTCCAGAACAAATGTGAAAAGAAAATTACGTAGAGGTATCCTCAAAGAGAACATCAGTTATGAAATTCGGTGGTTCCTCAAACCACATCACCTCCTGCTGACATTCAATGCCTGCCCTTGCAAATCTAAAGCCCATATGGAATTAAATGTGAGTAAAGCTAAACCTGGTAATATTAGGGAGAACTAAATTTATAAACAAAATTTGGAAACAAAATAATATATCACCAATAAGCAATAAGCACGTTAATCAATATTTACGTAATAATCCAATTATCAACTTCCATGTCATTTTGTTTACAAAATTTAATCTACAAATTTAGTCTCCCTAGCATTACACTTTGTATTGTGAACTTTACCTTTTCTAATGAGAGGATTTAGATGTGGTCTATAAAATGTGGTGTCCCTAAAATCATTCAATAAAAAAAATCATGATGAAATATATAGCTAACTTCTTATGACATAAGAGTAAAAGTAATGCTAGAGAGGCTAAATTTTTAGACTAAATCTGCAAATTATATGATATGTCACTGATCATAAATAAGCACGTTAATTAACACTTAAGTAATAATCACATCATGAATTTCTATGTCATTTAATTTACAAAATTTAGTCTAGCCATTCCCAAAACGTTTCCTTACTTTATAAAGCTTTGTCCTTTATGGAAAATGATTAGAGTGATAGGCCTTGAAGAATAAAATTGGGCTCACCTTGGGCTAGGCTTTGGGGTGTACTAATTAATTAATTTCGAATTTAATTAAATTATTTTTTATTTTAACAAAATAATCTTTTCAGATGAAGTCTGAAATCAAAAAATAGTACCCTCTGAAGAGATATCTCCCAACAGTCACATCACACTCTCATTGCGAAAATGCATAATCCCACTATATATACCTCCATCTGTACAACATTTAGAACACAGAAAATACAATTATTCTTCTATAATCCAAAACATCCTTACTGAGAGATCCACATAGAAATTCGCCAGAAGTCAAGTTTTCTGGTGCTAGAATTCTGACATGATCGTTAAATCCTGGTGAAGCAAACGTCTGTAGAACTACAAACACTGAGTAGGGACGAAATTTCTGTTTCAAGGACATTGCGGTACGCAAGCCTCGATCTTCAATATTTCTATTCAATATTATTTCATTGTTCATACTCTGTTAATTTCCTATTTACATTTATTATTTATTAACATATATAATTATATCACAAATTGTTGAAATATATCCAACATGAAGTTCTTGCTGCCTTCCTTAAAAAGACTTTGACAGCAAGGCAGAACGTGGCTTCCATGAATCCTTAGGCAGCTGACGTTCAGTCCCAAGAAGTGGGCAGCCAAGCAGATGTTGATTGAGCAATGCGAATCTTCTTGGTTCGACCTCAGGACTAGTTTGTTGAGACATCTGTAAAACGCATTTGGATAACTCGAGCTTACGGTTCTGAGGAAGTTTGATGATGATCCTACCCATTTACAGATTGTCTCGCTAACTGGAGTTATACTTTGAGCATAGGAATTTGCTAATTTGATGATCCTCCTGTTTGTGTTTGATCTAGATTAGTTGGTATCAACGACTTTGTTTAGTTGTTTGTTTGGGGTTCTTCCCTTTAGTGTTTACCCATAAATAAAATTAACAGAGAAAATTTTAATTTTAATAATTCACAATAAATAAAATTGGAGTCGCAAATTTTGAGACTCAAGAAAGTTGATTGAAGTGAAGAGGCCTTGCCGGGTAGATATGTATAAGTCTTTATTTTATTGTTATGAGCAAGTAATAGTATACTCGTGTCATGTAAGTTGTTCTCCCAAGAAAAGAAGAATTAAGAAGATATGGCTGTGGGACCCATCTCGAACTCCATAATCAACGAGTTAGGGCTCATCTGAACTTGAACTATCGTTGTTACTCATTCATCATCATACCAAGGCTGCTGTGGCTGTGATCATGATCGTGATCAGAGGTGCCGAGAATCAAGATCAGACGGTCGTAAGGCAGCTTCTGTTGTGGTTCAATTTCTCGCTCTAAAAGCAGACATGCCATATTGTGCGTACAAGTACAATTGACCACAATGCAAGGATTGTGTATATACATATTCAATGTATATTTCTTAATATTGTGGTCTAGTCACAAACTTATCAATACCACATTTATAATTCGTGTTCATAACACCATGCGACGATGTTGCATTCACGAACGAAAACATTTGGTCCTCAAAATTTCTTGTCCGAACCAGATCAGGTTTTTGAAGGGCAAAGCAATTAATGAGTTTTCAATTCGAATTCTCTATACATCATATGAAACAGAAACTGAATTTCTAATCACCTCAGCTGGCAAACCATTTCACCGTACGAAATTAATATCTGCTTTCAAAGTTTCACCGTATGAAATTAATATCTGCTTTCAAAGTTTGATCATGCTTGTATGTATACATAGCAAGATTGGGAAGCAGGAAATGCCACCTAGTATACAGAAACTCTCCTCAGCTTCCAATACAGCCGGCCTACGCCCTGACAACACTATCGACGGCTACAAGGGGCAATCGAATTGTTTGAACACCGTCTTTTCCATTAGTTGTGAGAGCTACAAAGGCGATCGAACTTGCGGATTAAAAATACAGATGCTTGCTATAGTATATAGATGCCCCCTTCAATACCAGTTTACCATTGTAACTTGATAGCATTGCCTGGTAAGAGCTCATGCATATCTACAGTGCGGCTGATGCTCAACTTCAAGGTTGAATTCAAAGTATGCCCGTCTTGTTAGCTAAACGAATCTCTCAACTAAAAGCAGAAAGCGCGTCTTTTGAGTCTACTTTTACCTGAAAATGACACAGAGGAATCGTATTGGGCACTTGTAACGTCCAGAAAGGTTCGAGTTCATCACCATTAGTAACTGTAGATTGAAGATCGGCTTACTAGTTCGAGATTGAAGTTCTACAACCCCGTCCCCTCCTCCCTCATCGCCCACACCACCACCATCGGAAGCCCATACAAAGAACCTCAAACTAGAAATTAAACCAACCTTCACCATATAAATGAGTAAATGGCATGAAGTTGAAAATGCGAAGTTAATATCAAAAGAAACTCTTAGCCAAGCAGGAATGCAGAAGCTCAAGATAGAAAAGAAGAAGCTGCACTTCACCATTGATGCAAACGATCCTACGTACTCAAGCAAAAGATTTGTAGCTTCTCTGTATCTACCATAATCAACATATAGTTGGAATATTACACATAACGGTATTATAAGTTACAACGTACGTAAAATCGGCTTAAATACTTTCATCATGGTTGGACAATTCTAAAAGAAAAATGCATACAAATGTTCAAAATCCACGAATATTACACATAGCAGTACTGAAAAATGGTAAAAAATTGTGAGCAAACTCGGTCTAACCAAAATAGGGAAATAGAGGATAAGAAAAAATCGCAAACGAAACTCAAGTTGTCGATTCAAACACAATAGAGTACAAGGAATTTCATTGTTTAAAACTTTAAACCCTCCTCTAAGTGCATTTTTATCCGAAATATAGCCCATCTGCAGGTATCAATACGTGTTTGCCCATCAAACTCCTAAATACTGCCATGGCTACAAAAAGAAATACAAAAAACCGTGCACATCATCGGCCACAGAGAACTAGAGGCCAAGCGTTGAGAGAAGTTCACACCATCTTGGAGTCTCTTCATCGAAAATGTAGGTCAATGGGGAAACTAGAACTCCGCTGCCTCCAATCTGCACAAATTAGAGCAAAGAGAAATTCTTCAGGCAAACATGGAATTAGATTTAAAATTTCAAGTAACATTGACCAATACTTTTATAATAAATATCATGGCTCACCGCTCTCAGTTGTTGAACGGACTTGTAGAGTGCCTTTTTTGGCACACATATGACTATGGCATAGTAATCGACTGCAATTTGCCCACCATGTTGCAAAAAACTGGACTTACAGTGGGTCCCTGGACGTGTAACCATGTACATTATTTACAGACTCATCAGACGGAAGAATAAGGATCCGTTTATATAATAATAGTGATAAAAGCCCACTTATTATGGTATACTGCAACTTAGGGTCATGGTTAGATAGAGTGATGCTTCATTTCAAACCTCACCTGCAAACCAGATAATGATGCCTGGCTCAAGACTCGCTCAGCCACTTCCTCTGCACTGTTTCCTCTCATATTTGCAACTACCTGCCATAAGCCCATAAATATGTAAGAAAACAAAAAACTGAAGGGGCAAAAATGGACTTTTAAAGACATGAAATACGCACCGTGAACTGACCCTCTGCCCTTAGATGTGCCTCTAATCTTTCAAGAATCTCATGTGTCGTGTCAAGAGCGCTTTTCCTTTGGATCAATGACCTCTTGCTTGCAACAAGAACTGCCTAAAGAAATTCTAATTACAACCATAAGACAAGATATAGAAAGAGCAGGGTTTCAAACCAGCTCCTTCTAGATGCATGCTTAAACCTACGAGATCACATGCTTGGTCAGAAGAGCCACAAACCAAGAAGCCTACCTGGCTTTGTAACACAACTCCCCCATCAATCTCTTTTAGGTTGTTTTCTTTCAGCGTCGTCCCACTACTCACGAGGTCCAAAATTGCATCAGCTATCCCCATCTAAATTTAAAAGAGAGACAAGCAGTAATTAATTATCTTCTCCCTAGCTTCAGATTTTGAGGCCAACAACACCACATCAGGTTACATTGTACATGTTACGTGTTTTTTCTAAATGAACTTTATTTTCTAGTTGTTAAAATATGCCCTAATTAGTAGAGTAGTAGGTCAGATTATCCTATTTTTTAGTTAAATGGCATTTGACTATACTAATATGAAACCTATATAAAGGTGTAGATGCTATGGAATAAGGGGAAGAAAATCATTAAGGAAAAAAACGAAAGTTGGTCAAGAGTTCTTCCATATACCCTAAATCCCTATTTTCGTTATACTTCGCAGCATTTTCCACTGTCCATATCAGTACAAAACGGTGGTCCCCTTTGGTGTCAACTACCTAACTACAAAGTCACTGAATGTATTGTCATCTAAAACTTAAGCATGGATTCAGTCTGTTCAAGCAATATCATAATCTTAAGATTCTTAACTGCAGCAACAAGAATCCAATAGAAGTCTGGACTAGTATGATGTTCAATGTGACAACTTATGTTTAGATATTGGTAAGTAGATAATAAATCGATACCCTATGTTTTTCATTGAAAGGACATGAAACAATGAATTGAACATATATGTACACACACACATATACATATATATATATTTATGTATGTATGTATGTATGTATGTATGTATGTATGTATGTATATATGCTGGCAAATATGTGTCATGCTTTATACTACACTTGGAGCAACTCAACCACATTATAGGACAACGCTCCTCATAAACTCAAAACATCCCAACAAACTTTATTCTGACAAAACACATTCTTACCGCAGGAGCTGCCTCAAGTGCTCCATCAGCAGTTGAAAAACTCACATGGTTCAATCCATTATCTTTCATAAATTTAGGACCGAGCTGCAATAGAAGACAATAGTGAAACTAAATGCAAACAAAACCCTTATTTCCAAGGATGCAGCAAAAGAAACTTGTTCCCAACGTAAAACGTGAAGAATAATACAACAACAAAGATCATAAACACAATGCATACATAGGTGAAGCCAGTAGCAACTCGGAGAGGTTTCTCTTTAGTCCATTGAGGCATTTGTGCTAGCTCCTTCAGTGAATTTATATTTTCAAAAATCCCGTATTTTGGAATCTGAAAAACAAAACAAAGGATATATAAAGTTATTCACGATAACACAAGTAGAATAACTGGAGAGAGAGTAACTCACTGCAAGGGATAAACGGCAGTCCCCATAATCAAGAGCATCATGAACAATGATAAGATCTTCATTCCCCTAAAAGACAACTTCAGATGATCAGCTTTCCGTTCTCTTTAAACAAGTAATATCAGTGATAAGCGTGAAATATCAATGCATCTTATTCATTTGGATAACAAAGATAATAAATACTGAAAATGTCTTAAGTAAGGACACCATTACTGCAAGAAATTTTCCTGCAATCTACGAAATGAAAGAGTTCTGCACAACAAAAAGACATCCCTTTTCCAGTTGATCAGGTCACCATTCAAAAACTAAAAGGCCAGACATACTAGAAGATGTCCCTACTTAAAAAAAAACTTATGAGTCATTAGTTTGCACCCATTTTTCTGGTTTATCAACTACTTCTGGGGTCTTCCCTGAAGGGATTAAAACGGGGAAGCCCTACTAAATTTTAAATGATTAGCTTCCTCCTTTATATTTTGGCCCCAAATCCGGATGATACGGTTTTTAAAGATAAGTGTACTTCTTCATAGTCATTTTAGATAACAAACATGGGAAATAGCAAAGATTTCCTCAAGAGATGCAATGACTGCAAGTAATTTCAAAACATACACAAATTACTCTGATTTCGTGACATATTATCAGTCCATATTCATAGCAAGTTACGAAAACTTGCAACGAAATTCGACAAAAAATGAAAACAAAGGAAAACCAAATTACGTAAACAATTGAAAATCCCTAAAAATAATAAAACTGAATGAACAGATTGAGATACATACCTCTCCATACTCACTGACAGTATCAAAACCCGCAATGCCAAGGTCCAAGTCTCCAGACAACAATTTCCGCACAATGTCCTTCGGCCGCTGAAACCACACCTCCAAGTTCGATAGCTGCACACAGTAAAATCCATGAAAAATGAAATTAATTTTTCCCACAAACAAAAATAAAAAAGCACGTAAATTTGAAGGATGCTTCCTGAAGTTAGAGAACCTGTGGGATTTGGGCGACGTATTGACGAGGATTGACGTGCTTGACGGACAGCTGGCAGTCCTTGAGAAGATCAAGAGTGTCGGCGGCCATACGGCCTTTGCTTGGCAGGCCGAGGCGAATCTCGTTCCGTTCAGAAACTCGGCCGTTCACTGCTTCCGCCGCCGCTGTTTGCAGCTGCGAGACGCTGCAGGAGATGTGGAAGGAGCGGGAGATGGGGACATAGTGGGTGGGGAAGAAGGGACTCTTTGGCAGGTTTGATGCCAACATATTGTTGCTCTCTTTGTTTGGATTTGGAAATGTGAGGAGTCGGAGACGGCGGTGCAGCAGATGGAGAGAAAGGAGAGAGAGGAGAGGGAGGAGAGAGAGAGGGAGGTCGTAGGTAGGTGGCTGACGGCTGAGAATTAACAAGGTTAAGATATAAGTTACACGTACTTACGGCACTCCAGTCCAGTTTGAGTACTAGTGTCATCTGTTGAGGAGATTCTTGATAGGACGCCGACACCACACATGTTACAAGTTTTTCTTTTCTTTTTCTTTTTATCATAAATAATTACGCTAAAAGCTTTTAAATCTCTCATCTAATACGACTCCAACTCCTCTAATCCCTGTTATTATGTCATATAACTTCTTATTTTTACACTTGAAATTCTGTATTCCAATCAGTTGTCCATAATTTATTTCAATCATCTTATCATCTGTTAAAAAAAATTGAAGAGAATAAAGTCTCTCTTCCACGAGCAGTTCCATAGGAAAAAAAATCCACGAAGCAAAAGGACCGAGAGTAAGCTTCCCTCCATTTCTTTCATGGCCGAACAGAGTAACAGAAGGGTTTATAAACGTTTATATTCACGATAATGCTAGGAATATTAAATTTGTAAACTAAATGATGTGTCGCCAAAAAAAATGAGCACATTTATTTAACACTTAAATAGTAATTCAATCATCATCTTCCATGTCATTTAATTTAGAGAATTTTAATAAAAGCTTCATGTACGGTTCACTTTAAGGAAAAACCACATTTTTTCACTAAAAAATCAATCATGGTACTATTTATTTTACTTTTTATTTTGTCATCACCGTTAAAACTCAAAGTTTTAAGACTTTTTCATTGGTTTTTTTTTTTTTTTAATTTAACAAAATTTATTTACAAATATAATCTCGCATTACTCTTTTAATCGCACACGTTACCCAAGCTGAAAGCAACCACGTGACGACAATTTCACGCCATGCGGTGATCCAACGGCTGCCAGTGTGGGCACGCGAACGCGATCCCCGCAATAACTTCGTTAAGAAGTCTTTAGAAAGTCCCCTTCCATTTTCTTCGATTCTCTGCAGACAGCAAAGCAAAACGCCTCTACTTTCCGTTGACAATCTGAGGATTTCAGGGGTTTTTTAGTGTTTTTGTGGAATTTGATTTCGATGGAATCTACAACGACGTCGTCTGGTGAGTCGGAGTTCGATTACTTGTTCAAGCTGCTGCTGATTGGGGACTCGGGGGTTGGGAAGAGCACGCTCCTCTTGAGTTTCACTTCCGACACCTTCGAGGATCTCTCTCCTACTATCGGTAACCTCATCATTTCCCTAGTTTTTTTATAATTAATTTTTACCATTTAGTTTTGGAAAACACACACACACACACACAAAGTTTCCCTTTTTTTTTGTTTTTAATTTTGATATTTTTGCAGGTGTGGATTTTAAGATAAAGCATGTCACTCTTGGGGGTAAGAAATTGAAGCTTGCAATTTGGGACACAGGTAATTAGTTGTTTTTTTATATCATAATTTATACTTTTTTATGGAGATTAATTTCCAAATTTGTTGTGCAAGTTTGTGATGTTTTTCAGTTTAAGATCTTTGAATTGCTTGATTGCATTGTTGAGGTAGATAATGATTTTGTATTAATTTGGTTGTGTATGTAGTATGAACTATGTCGATTCGGTTTGATTACGTTTGCAAGTTTAAATGAATCCACTGAAATAAAGATGAATTGTTGTGCATAATGCAGCTGGACAGGAAAGATTTAGAACTCTTACTAGTTCATATTACAGAGGAGCTCAGGGGATAATAATGGGTATGCATGTTTTTTTCTTTTGTGTTTATTTTGTTGATGTTGTTTTGGAATCAATGGGATTTTTTGTCATTTACGTATTGTCTGGTGCAGTGTATGATGTGACACGAAGAGAAACATTTACGAATTTGTCTGATATATGGGCGAAAGAGATTGATCTGTATTCCACTAGTCAAGATTGCATCAAGATGCTTGTTGGAAACAAAGTCGATAAGGTATGTCCTCTCCGACATTGTGGTGTTAGACTGTTAGTTATACCTTTCAGTATCTAACTAAGGGTCTCGGGTCTCAGGCCAAGTTGGTGTTGATCGAGTGTATAAACACTGATCTCCTTGTCTCTTACGCTTACTAGACTCGTAAAAGCGTTGATGGAACAAAATAGGTCAAAGAAGGAAAATTGGATTAAATAGGAGGGTATGGTGAAATTAGGATTACCTTCACCTTTTAAATTCTTAATCAACATGCCAGTATAACGATTAAACACCGAAATTACTATACATGTACGCTATGTAGCTTGTCATTAGCCTGTCGGAAAGACAAGTTTTCTTCTTGCATCTGTCCACCAGAATCCATGTTGAAGTTATCTTATTTCCAGGAAAGCGAAAGGGCTGTAAGTAAAAAAGAGGGGATGGAATTTGCTAGGGAATATGGATGCCTTTTTCTTGAGTGCAGTGCAAAAACTCGAGTAAATGTAGAGCAGTGCTTTGAGGAGCTTGTCTTAAAGGTATGCAAAATTATGGTTTCCGTCTTTCTCTATGACTGGATTGCCTCGTAGCTGCATGTTTAGCCTTACATGGGTACATTGGAAATGGTTGTTGCTACTGTAATTCAGTAAAATGATTTTCACACCCCTATTCGGTAATGTTCCTTAATTCTCCTCTGGTTTATCCAATCCAGTGGTCAGAAATAAATATGGGTGTGTAGGGGAGAAAAGGGTGTGTAGAAATTTACTTCCGTGTCATAAGGCTTTGATTCGATAGTGTCAAATCTGTTGGTTTTTGCTTACAAGCTGTTTTTCATTCTGAAGTCTGCTATTTTTTTATATATTAGCATGAACATAAATGTTTGTTCGTAGCGATATGATTGTTTGGCCAACAGTTAATATTATGGGTTTAGTTGGATGTTTGTTCTTGTGCTGATATGATAGTACCATGTTATGGGACAGATATTGGAAACACCGAGTCTCGTGGCTGAGGGATCAGCAGGTGTGAAAAAGAACATCTTCAAGCAAAAAGCTCCTCAATCTGATGAATCAATAAGTGGCTGTTGCTGATGGGGACTGAAGTTCAGGATCGAGATTGAATATTTGTTCACCGAGTTTCCCTTTGTTTTCTTCCTCACAATAAGCCATTCGATTCAATCTATGTGAACTGTATGCCTAATGGATTTCAGTATGTTTGATGTTTCAGTGCGATTTAAAGTTTACACAGACAATTGTAGATTTACGGTTCCAGAGCTCGAAGTTCAGGTTTATGTCATGGTGAGTGTTGTGCTGTTCTTCTATTCTTTCTTTGCTACGTTTATATGGCGATGGAATTGTGGAGATAAGGTTACAGTTTCTAATGTTGTTTGAGCAGAATTATAGTACTAGTACACTGTCCTAAACCATAAACCCTGAACCCGAAATGGGAAATTAATGAACGAGAGGAGCAAGGAGACCTACTCCGTCTGTTAAACTTATTAAAAGTGAAATATAAAACAAGTTCTCGACATGTAACGACTAAGGAGCAAGATGACCTACTAAACACCAGTTGTTGCTTATATGGTGGCTGGGGCTACTTCTCTACCTCTTAACCTCGCAAATTGCATATCAAAACTCAGTTTACTTGTCTATGAAACACTAAGGAGAATATCTGCCAAACGACCCTTGCCGTATAAATTGAGAGTAAGTAAACCACGATTAAACAGAATAGAGGTCCACTAAAAGGGGAATAACGAACCTAAAGAAACCAAGTCGAATTCAATGGTAGTGCAAAAACTTTCAGCAGCATCGCAATTGCAAAGTGATTCCACAATAGTGATACTAAGCCATGGACTTTTTCTTGTCTTCTTCCAGTTTCTGCAGCTCAGCAAGTCTTTGAGTCCATGCTCTTTCCCTTGCAACAGCGGCCATTTTTCTCTCAACTCTCTTTATAACTTTCTTCCTTTTAGCCTCCTGCACCAGAGCTTTCCTTTTCTTTTTTTCTGCCTGCACAAATTCATACGCATTCGATATTAAAAGGAGGAACATATCGGCAAAAGGGGTTTCAACAAACATTCAAGGTCAAGTGATAAGCTTGTATGTCATGCGCCAAAACAACTCCGTTGTAGTGATGGTTTCTCAAGTTCCAATAGATATGACAAACTACAAAGATTGTTTTATATGCCGGAAAAAGCATTCCATGGGAATACTGCATCACCAAAATGGCTGTAGTTACGTGTTACTAATTATATAGCATTAAACTATAGTGGTGTTCAAGGATCCATACGGCCAACCTCACCTAATGAGATAAGGCTTGGTTGTCGTAGTATTCCACTATCCATGAGAAAATCTGATAAAAGTACTGTCTGAATTATTAACGTTCCAAAACAAGTTCAAAACCACACTTCATGAAAATAAGATTCCATTTCTATTTGGTAAAACACACAAGTATTTCTAAAACAATAATGGAGAAGAAGCCTAAAACATAATAAGACTCATGAAAAAGCTAATGAAATACACACCAATATAAATGCACGACGTTGCCTCATGCGCTTCTTCTCATTCCTTCTCTTCACACTTCCTTCATTGGGTCTATTAGGAACTATTGGCGCACCAGGAACACACTGAACTGCAGCCAATGGTCCTGCATTCAAATAATAACAACATAACTTAGACTTGAGTCAAATCTCCAACTAAACCACTTCCCCAAACCCTACATGTAAATCAACAAGCATTGGCAAGACTCGACGGCTAAGGAAGTGTTTTTTTCTTTCCTCAGTAACCAAACATAACATTTCCAAAAGTTCAATCATATCCAAGAGGTAGTTCTTAAATTATAAGAGTTCAACTACAAACTTAGGAATGAACAGAGGATGAACATACCTGGAGGTCTTACGCTGGCCCTTTTTCGACGTGGCTTGTCGGTCGGACGCCGTTTGGGGAAACGAGTATCTGTCAAGCTGTGAACATAGTTGGAAATGGGGAAAAACCACGGAGCTTGGCTGCCACCAGAAATGCAGCGGAGCTCAGGTTTCGGGCCTGCAGTGCGGGCAGCAAAGGACGTCAAGGAAGAAGTTGAGGTTCGGGATATTAGGGTTCTTGATAGAGGTCGCACGATGGACCTTAGGGTTCCGAATACCATCTCTTTTAATCACAAAAATATTGATGAGTATCTTCTAACAGTCCCAGTCTGAAATCAAATTAGTACATTACACATAAATTGCAATGAGTTCAAACAGAAACGAATACAAAACAA